ATGTCAGTATGAGATTCAAGCAGTGCTAGCATATGTATATACTAGCTTTCTAGACAGAGATAATGAAATGATAGCCTGAAACTAGTAAAGTACAGAAACTGATGTGGTTAGGAAGCATAATGCTATAGTAGACTTCTTGCACGTTGCAAATACTAATCATATTTCTCTGTAGATTATAGTTCTGATAATCTTCCTGCAGATTGCTTTAAGGTAGTGACTAAGCCTACTTCTAAGTGCCTGCCAATGTGACCTGCAAGTCTTTAAAACACCTGCTTAAAATAAGAGCCCAGTACCCATCACTGATGGCTTCTTCCAAGTTTGGAACAGCTGAAGTAATTTCTGCGAAATCTTTACAGAAGTGTGTGATGAAACCAGAGATGCTTTACAGAGCAGGTTTGAAGAGATGTGTGGGGCAGATTTTGGGTTGCTTCAAAGATCTTTGTTGTGCACTTGGACAGTTGTTTTGCTTCTAGGGTTGCATTTTGTAGGATGTTCATGGCTGTTTGTTGTTACCACAGAAAACTTTTGATGTGTTTTTCAAAAATGACTTGAGTGGACCTTGAATTTCCCAGGAGAAAGTTTCATCAGTGGCATAGGCTGACCTTAGCATGGACTGCTGCAAAAGAGTGTTCTGCCTCATTCTGCACCTTTTGTCTTGCTGGATGATCTGATGTGGCATTGGACTGGAAGGGTGGTGTTCCAAGAGAGACTATTTGAAGGAGAGGGAGGGCACAACTGCCCGTTCGCTGGTAATGTGGCCTTAGATCTACTGAATCCACTTGTAGAACCACACCTTCAGTCAAACAGTGATCTCCTGGTGGGCTGGTTCCAAAGCAGCTACCCAGCTCTCTGAGGTGGAATTCCAGCTTTGTGGGCTTTTATGTGGATGGTCTTTTCTGTCATGCAAGTGTTACGCATTGTGCTTAAATTGAAGTGAGGAGATACTGCAAGAGGAGAGATAATTAATCAGCAAGTTAGACATTCATTTTTCTTGCATGGGGTTGCTCAGGAAGACTTGAATCAATGACAGATGTAATGTGATTCTAGGCACCCTCAAAAATCATGAGCCACGCACACACTTTTTCAGTATGTGTTGTCTCATCCTGGCACAGGTGGTTGAAGTAAACTATTCCAGCCCCTCTTCCTTGAGATTTTGGTTATGTACACAATGTCTGTTGTCTGTGTGGCCAGAACCCTGCATCTTCCTTTGAAGATCTTTCCCTTCTCTGTCCTGTTCCCATGCACCCCTGCTAGTTCTTTAGGTTTATATGCTTAATCCTGTCACAAATTGATCACTAGGCCTGTGAGACCCTCATGGTAACTGATAGCTCAAAGAATTATGAGTTAGCTTGCAGTTTCTGCACCATAATAGCCAGGCATGCTTTTAGTTTAAGGCAGGCATAGTGTGGTACATGTTTGCTTAAACCCTAGTGAAAGAACTACAGGCTAAATACACTTTGCATTTGTAGCATGCTGTAGACATGGTCAAATAGACTATGACTCTGTGTTATAAGGGGCACTCTGCGTTTGACCTGAGCTGGCAGCTACTGTCTTTGCAGTAGGTATGAGTGAAATTTAGAAATGTTTCTCCTCATCCTGAAGTTCAGGGACTGGCAGCTTAGTTTACACCCCTGTTGTCAGCTGCTGAAGCAGAGATCCTGGTCCTGCGTCTCGCTGACACAGCCAAACATGTGTTCTTTTCCACTGATTCTGCTGCGTGGGCCATAGCCTCTGGTGAAAGTAAAGACAAGAAGGGGAAACAGGAAGGGGAAAGAGGGCTGTGAGTGGTGAAGTTGTATTTTAAACTGCTGTAACTCTTTCTGTTGTGCTGTTGCGAACATCTGCCCCCAGACAAATGCAAAGATTTTTTTTTTTTTTTTCCAGCTCAGCAGACTCACTAAGCCAGGGTAACTCTCTGAGGTGAGATGTGTGTTTGAGCTGAAACAAAGTGTTTCCTGGACAAGTAACAGTGCTGTAGGGGCAATGTTAGCACTTAATGCGCTTTATTAAGTAATGGAAGAAGGTATTTCTTCTCCAGGACTGTGAAAGGTCATCTGATGAGGTTTCTAAGAGCAGAATTTGGTACAATCTCAGAATAGTATTCTGCGGGGCCTGTATTTGGGGACCGTCTGTCTGTTACGGGGGTTGGAGGGAAACCTGTGCTGGATTCAGACTGTGTGCTTTCCCTAAGCTCTTGCATGTTACGGCTATAAGACTCACTGTCATCTCAGGTGCATCCAGTTCTTTACATTAAAGGTCCTGCTCTCAGCTCAGGGCTGCTGGTGAATGAACAAGAGCTCTAAGTGTGAAAGAGTTTCAGTGGAGGTCACAAATTGCAATTTCGTCTTTAATCTGTGATAGTATTACTGAGTGTTGTCTTGTCATCCTGGGGAAATTGCTGAGCTTCTGTGAAACTTCCCTGTGCTTAGATCTTTGTGGACAGTGTCTTTGTGCGACCTACAGCATTACAGACCAAAAGTGTACCTTTCTGAGCTACTGAGGAAGAAGGGGCTGCAGACCACTGATCCCAAACTGAACTATAAGAGCCCATCCAGTAGTCACCTGCAGTCAAGGCAGAGGAGGCTGAGGACCGTTGCTAAGGCAGATGATGTGTGGTAGGCAGTTTCCCAGCTGTTACTTGTGTGGCACTGTATTCACGACAAGAATTCCAGAGGTATGTTAATCTAGTTTCCGTTTCCATCCGTTGCTAATGCAGGAAGGACTTCCAGTCTGGGATTCTTACCCGTGTTTCTGCACATCAGCAAACATCATGTGAGGTGCAATGGTTACATGCATCAGTCTGGCTTGCAGCTGACTTTGCTGCCTCAGTTCCATTTTTTTAATCTGACATTAATAATGAGTGCCAGGAATAACAAAAAACTGAGCCCAGCCCAAGCAGCCAACTGAAAGTTACTGGTGGCATTGGACCCTAAACTGGAATATTCCCACTGAACGCACCTTCGATCCTGTGGAACCTTCCTGTTCTTTACCAATTCTCCATCTGCTTGAGGGTTTTATTTTGCCATGCTTTTCTAGTGTCTGGTTTGTTTTTTTTTTCTTGCTTTCTCTTCTGTGTCCTCTCCAATCTTGTGGCTTTTCAGACCTTCCTTTCTTAACCTCACTGTTCTCAGAACTATGTGCTGAGTTTCCTGTTCCTGCAACCCAAGTATGGTATTTATTGGCCACTTTCTGATCCCTACCTTCCAGTATTTATAGGAGTGACATGGAGTTGCCCTTGGCATTGTAAACAGCTTTCGGTGACTCAGCTTTCTCCAAATCCTTCTCGTTTCGAAGATGAAATTAAAAAATAACTTGGAAGTAGCATTTGGGAACACTGGACCAAGAAGAATGAATAGATTTGTTCACTTGGGTTAAATTTTCATGAAGATCACAAAAGCCTCTTGCACTCCACTACAAAGACATTTTTATGCTTTCAGTTACGTGTCTGTAGTTCTAAAATATAACAAAGGAAACCTGTTACTTGAAGTTTAGATGAGATGCGCTTTATAGAGGAACTGTGGAATAATATAGGGTTTTGAGTATTAAGGATATGTATTGTCTTAGTAGGTCACAAAGGTAAAAACTGTACCTTCTGGCTTCTCAAAATTTACTGAAACACTGGTCCTGTCAACAAGTCTCTTAACCCAGTTGTGTTCTTCATAAGGATACAGCTTCCCTAAGAGATGCACAAGGTTACAGCTTCCCTAAGAGATGCACAAGTATGCGTGCACACACTGGCTCAAGCAAAACTTGAAATAGTAAAATACATCTTGTTTCCTTGATGGAGGAGGAGAACTCGTTTACTGTAAATTCCAACTTTACAGGACAAATGAAACATGACCACTTTCTTTGTAGAACTGAAAATCTGGTTTTTAGGTGCTGTGCTTGTAGATGAGCTGCTTAGGGTGAAGGGTTTGGAGAGAAGGAGATGTCCCATATTCTATTTGTTCTGTGTAGACAATTTTACAAAGTCTTACATTTTCCTGTGTTTTTTATTCTCACCTGCTGCTTTTCTGCATGCTTTCTCTCCACTCTGTTGAAAGGGGAAATGTTCCTACAGTATAGCCCAGCTTTGAGGGGTTATCACAAGATGTTTCACTGCTGAGCGTGTATTTCCTTGGTAAAGCGGGGGCTCTGAGGTTAGCATGATGAAAGATAACTTTCACTGCTTTCCCTGAGTACTTTGTCAGTACTCTGCCTGCTTCTTGCAAATGCAGCTGGAGTTGCTCTGAGAGGCTTATAATGTCCTTGTTCGTGCTTGGAAAAGGAGGCTGGCCAGTTGCAAGCTTCAGATGATAGAAGGAGCTCTCTTTGAGGGCATTCCCTCTTGCTCTGGGTGTACTGAGGTGAAAGCTCAAGGCCTCGTGAAAGCTGGTTGTCTCGGCTGGTGAGCTGGTTGATGGATGGAGTGGGAAATGTTCATAGATGCCAGTGAGGGGGTAGTCTGCACATGCAAAACCTATAGGGACAAGCTGTGCCATTTGCATTGACATCTGGATGACAGAGTGGTCTGGACAGGCTGCTGACTCCTTCCGAGCATTCATGTGTCCTGGGGTTGTAAGGGCTGACTTCTGAGAAACCACAGCTGTCGGCTCCATGCTGATAGCCCGCCAGCTTAGCCAGGAGGAAATGGATGACAGAGCAAGCTGCGTGCACTGTACAGAAACAGGTCAGAATAACTGGCTGCTTCATATTAGTTTCTGAAGCTGCTAAATGGCTCGTGAAGCATGTGGCCATGCCTACATTTTCCCTGGGCTTTTTACAGGGGTGAGCTTCTGCAGGGCAGCTGTGCAGAGAGCCTGGCAGGGCAGGCGAGAAGGGGCTGTCATGGGGCTGCTCTCTCTAGCTCAGCTGCTAATGCTTCCTGGAGGGGGGCATGTTCTTCAAGGGGAAATGTGGTTGGGTTTCTTGGACCGCATCTCCTCCCCTTGCTGCTGTTCTCACAAGTATTTCTGTCAAGTGTGGCCTGAGGTAGCCTTCATTTAAAGGGGAACAGAAAGGCCTCTAGTCAAGGCAGAGCTGTTTATAACTGCGATCTGTTGACCTACAGCAGCTGCTCATGGAGAAGCTCAATTCAGGTATTCACTGAACTTTCTAATGAGTCTGTTGATCTCCTCTGTAATCGCCTCTTACTTGGGTATCAGTACAGTGATATAATTGCTGACTCTTTATATGTAAATGGGTTGTCATTGCTCAAGTGTCTTAGTGAGTGGGAAGCCTGATCTAACAACACATCCCTTTAGAGCATGGGTATTACTGAACGTAATGGGATGGTTTCCTCTTCCAGTGCTTGCATGTTCACAAGTCAGTAGCACGTGACTTGAACTTGCAAGATGACCATAGCATCACTTCACTGCTTATGTGGGAAGTTGCTAATTTGCAATTTCAGAATTTTCTGAATGAATAGACAGATGAATAATTCATACCTGAAACTCAGAGTGCCTGTTTCATCAGCTGTTAATCCAATTACTGATTAACATTGCTTGCTTCTTCCTGTATTACCTAACAGCTCTGTTCTTACATATGACCTCCGGGCAGTCAACTCTGTTACAAGAATGCAGAAGTGCAAGACAGGATCAGGCAATGCCAGAACTTTGTAAAAGCTCAAGTCATTCTTTATCTGCTAGTTGCTTTCTACTGCCAAATAACATCAGTGAAGCAGAGAGACCGTGGGGCTTGTTTTCTTCTTGCTCCCCTCTTATCCTTGCTTACTGTAGATGTCGTAGCTGAGATCCACAGCTTTAGGTTTCATTTTCCTCTGAAATGGACCATATGTTGGGCAAGTGACGTACAAATTACCACACTAATGGTTCCATATTGGGATGGGATTGATACCCTTCATATCAGGATGCTGGCAAGTGTCAGCTTGTGCATATGTGGCAGGAACATTAATGCTTTGCTGTAATTTGGTCATCGTTGGTGCTCTCTTGTCTGTGGTGACCTTAGTCTTCCTGATTTAGTCATATTGGAAACAACCAACAGAGATTACAGAGACACTAGTCTACTAACAGTTGCCTCTTTTCCTCCTCCCCAAAAGACATGATGTCTTGCTCTGCATATGCCAAACACCTGACATGATAGCTGTCCTGTAAGGGAAGGATGTGGGACCAGTGCTTTATTTTCTCCTGTGCAGCTGAGCATCTTGGCACCCCCAGGTGGGAGTAGTGCATCTTTTCCTAAGAGAAGGGTTCCTAAAACTGGAATCTGGCTCTTGCAGCTGATGGCTTTGGACAGTATCAGTTAGAATACTGAGTTAAGAAATTTAAGACTTCAGTCCATTTTCTGTAATATAATTAGTATGAGCGTCTGAAAATCCAAAAGACCACCTTCAGTACGTAGCCTTGTGTCACTACTAAGTAGTTTCTTAGTCAAATATGCAGAATTGTGTTGGTGAAGTATTAAAATCTGTTTGCTAAATTATATGTACTGTTCTAGGTTTGTTTAGGAAATGTTGATGTAGGTGGTGATGCCTTAGTTGAACTTCAGAGCTGCAGAATTTTGGCTCTGTTCTTTCTACAGCAAACATTAAAGCAGTGGCCTAGTTCTTGTAGAGTAGTGCCTACTATGAGCAGGCTTGCTTGCCATGTGGAGCGTTTCACATACTTAAAGTTAAGCATATGTGCATCACTATTTGTGACAAAAATTTCAGCTGAATGATTCACTAAAATTTTGTGGCTTAAAATCTGTCTCCTGAAAGCAAAGTTGCATTCATGTAATTAACAAAGTCCCATATAAATGTATAGAAAATATTAAAAAAAAAAAAGACAAAGAATTTCAAATATCCTACATTTAAGTCTTTGTAATAATAATGAAGAAGTCTAGATTTAAATTTGTGACTGAATTCTAGCTTCACTGTTTGAAACTAGCAGGACATGAACACCTAATAGAAGCCTGCTTTAGTAACTTTGGCTCTCTTGATTTATGGAAACTTGATGTACCCAGAGGTTAAGGGATTCTGAGTAAAACCTGGGCTGTTGTCAGCTTCACTGTATGGATGCCCTGGATTAGACAGTGCAGTTGGTCGCTTAGGTCTTTCTCATCAGGACTGAGTGTTTTAAATAGAACATTTCTTACTAATATGAAAAACTGCCAGTCCAAATCTGAGATATTAACTAGTAAGTAATTTGTACTGCTCTTTACAGATGTGTTTTACCGTTAAGTAGTAAATAACAAATAACTTCCAAAATATTGTATTAAATCATTGACTGCTCCACAGTTTTCCAAGGTGTGGTAAATTTTGGCCATGGGAGGTAGGGTTTTAAGAATTCGTGTTAGTCTTTTGACAACTGAAAGTCAGTGACTTATACCCCATGTTTTGGGAGGCAGGGGAAAAAAGTTGTGAATCGTGTGAGTCAAGAGGTAGAAACTAGATAAGAAAGTGCTCCCTACTAAGTAAATACAAAATCATCTGCTGTTTATCTAGTTGGGAAAAGTATTTCCTGGCAGGGGTAGGAGACCTGTAATCTATTTTAATTCTTGCTAGGTTTTTTTGCAGCCAGTGATATCAATTCAGTTTGTTTGCTCTTCCATCAGTATCCATGCTGTTACTGGGAAACAGGAATGAGAACATGGTTTTGTACACACAGACTGTAGGGTTACATGTGTTTACTTCTACTCTTGGGTCTGATGGGTAGAGTACTGTTATTCTTCAATGCAAAGGCTCTGGTACATTTCAGTTTCACTCTTGCATAGATAGAGTAGCTTATAGTTCTTGCTCAAGGAACAGGATCGCTTCAGACTACTGCCTCATGTATTTTGTTGACACAATAATGAACTTGGGAATTGGAGTGAGCAACATAATCAGGATCCAGAAAACTAAAGATACTACTGAAAAGAAAGAAAAGTTTGTTTTCTTCATTTACTTTAGGAGAGGAAGACTAAAGGCTTCTGCCCATTCTACAGTGTGCTTGGAGAGCAGCTGGAGTCAGATGAGACCAGTTGACAATCATTCTTGCAGTAGACATTGACATACTAATTTTCCTATCTAACGTGAGAAGGGACTATCCATATCAGCAAAGAGTGGCGTTGTTGTTTGTTTTGTAAGCATATTCAGTGCTACGCCAGCATTTTTGTGTCTTTGTGAATGTTCCTCAGCAATCCTCTTAAGGGAAAAAAAAAGGAAGCTCTGTAGTTTCCATTTCTTCAACTAGATCCCCTTTTCTGAGCATTACTTTGAGAAGAATAGCAAGTCCCACCCCACCACCTCCCTAGCTGTTTGTCAGGATGGATGTGTATGATCTGCATTTTCAGTAAAGGGGAGTGATGTAACAGGACTCTTACGCTTTATTTTAGACTCAGGCTGTGACTCTGTGACTGATACAGAAACAGAAGACGAGAAGAACCCAGTTTACTTGCATAGTCTTGCCATGAGCGAAGAACATGGGTCATCCAAGAGCACTGGGGATCATCCGGTGGTGCAGCCTGACCGCATACGGTGTGGGGTACTGTATGTCCACTCCGTGGGCTATGTTCTTACTGTGGGCTGGTGCAACCCATTATGCTGCTCTGTAATGGACAGCTTTACAGGCCTGAGACTTAGTCCCTAATTCCTTTTCTGTCCTTTTCCCTCTCAGCCTCCTGTCCTCACTGTCTGTTTCATAAGCTCGGTTTCTGAGGCCCAGAAGTAGCTTAGTAAGATGCAGCGCCCAGTGTTGTTTAGGCTGCAGTGTCACTTATTGACAGCCTTATTAACATAGCTGCTTGTCTTGTGTGCTGTGAGGTAGGTTCACACTTTTGACTTACCATCTTCCATTCTGGTGAGTTTTAGGGGTGGCAAGTGGACTAAGTTGATTGTAATGAACTGTAACTCTACAGTCTGGATGCAGTCTAATATGACAATACTGGAGCATGTCATACAAGTGACTCCAAAGAGCTTGGATCATGTCTTCTTGTTTGAAAACCAGCATTTCTTAATATAGCATCTCCTCAGATGGAAAAATCTACATTTCTTCCTTTGTTTCTGTTTAGAATGGGGCCACGCTACTTGAGGGAGGAGACTGATAGAGTTGAAACTAAATAATTTTATGAATCTAGCTGATAAGTCTGGAGTTTTATCAGCTTAATGCTGCTGCAAGCTGTAACAGAAGCCACCTGCCCAGTTACTCCATGACTGGAAGATGCTCCTGAAAACCATTCAGGACTGTGAAAATGACAGATGATAGTTTATATGTTAGTTGCAATGACAACAAAATCCCTAGAAAAGGGGCTTAACAAACCAAGTGTGCTTATGTTGTGAACCTGCATTGTTGTAATGCCTTTTCTCTTAGGTGCAGACAACAGTTTATATTATCATGAAGAGTAAACTAGATGGCGAAGTGAAAACTGAAGTTGAATTCTCTCCAGAGAATGCGTCATCTGTGCGTGTGCTGGCTGAGATGGAGAATGAGTACACAATCTCTGTGGAGGCTCCAAGTAAGCTGGGCTGAAATTCCCCCCCCTCCTCCCCCCATTGCTTCTTTTCTGTCTCAACCTTCCTGTCCTGAAAAGTGCTAGAAGGATAAGGTAAAGGTTACAATGGAGGAAAACTTGCAGCTAGAAAGTCTTGAGCTTGCGTTCTCATCTGTGATACTTCCGTGATGAGGAACTGAGATAAACTGCTGCTTGGGGGCTCTGTTTTCACCTCGGCAGTGGCAGGGTTGCAGTGTGGAAACACCTTACTGGGTGTTCTTAGAGCAGATTGCAGCTTGTAAAGCACTTTGAACTTAACTGTGTGTTACAACCACCACCACATTAGCATTGTCAGGGCACCAAGAGAAGGTAAGTGCCAGTAAATAATTGCAGGACTATAACAGCATGTGCTTAGTGTGTGACGATTTCTCTATGATCAGAGCTGAAACTATTTATCCTGGCTTGCCTTTTAATTTAGATATGTTCTATCACTCTAGATATTTACATTTACAAACCTGTAGGTTGTCTAAACTTTAGGTTCACTAAACTTTAGGGACGAGATTTCAGAGCCTTACAGATGGACAGTACTTTCTTAGCGTGATTTTATTTAATCTACTTTGCTCTGTCCTCTTGAAGGGTCATTGTGCCAGCTCTGAGAGATATATATATATATAGATTAATATATATAGCTACTCCTGTAACGTCAGTGAGGTGGGTTGATTTTAAAGGTGACCTCACCCACAGAAAAATATTCAACTTCACGTGTCTTAAATCAAGACTTATAATTTAAATGTGGACCTGGGCACTAACTTGCACTTTGAATTGTAAACATGACCTTCACATTGATGGAGTGTGCAACTATGTTAAGCTCTGCAGTTTCTAACAGTAAGAGAAATATATTTTTAATTCCTTTCATGTGTGACTGTAACTATTTCATAATTTCCTGAGTTGTTAACAGCCAAGCAGGGAGAGATTAATTTCAATGGGATTCAAAATATTTGTGTTTCAAAGAGAAAGTTGAAATCTATGAATGCACACTGGACAAAACATCAAGGAGCTCCCATGGTGCAGGTAGGAGATAAATCCTGCGCATGGGAAAAGTTGCAAAGCTGGAATTCTTTTAAGTTACTTTAATTCAGAGACTAATAAGGCTGATGGGTTGCAAAATCCCTAGTGACTTTTCTGGTTTCTCTCTCCTTCTGCAGTTCTCATATTTTATGGCCTGGCTTAGAGACTGCTCAAGAGAAAGCCAGAGGTGGAGAGGTGTGAGGCTTTCTAGTTTGAGTGGTCCAGACTACTGTTAGCAGAGGACCTAGCAGGTCACAGGTGATGTACATTGACATAGCTCTGAAGAAGGTAGTTCCAAAGTACTTTCCTACTTAGTGTTCAGACCAACATCACCTTTTTTTCATGACTCTTCATGAACTCAATACAGCAGAAACTCTTTTGGTATCCCGCTGGCAGTATCTCCAAACTCCTCCTAGCCTCAGGGTATTTGATGCAGACTTATTCCCATTGTTTGTTCTTAACGGTGATTTCTTCTCTTCCTTTACAAAGATTTAACCTCTGGGACAGTGCCTCTGCAGATATATTCAGGAGACTTGATGGTGGGAGAAACGAGCGTCACCTATCATACCGACATGGAGGAAATTGGCAGTCTGTTGACTAATGCAGCCAACCCAGTACAGTTCATGTGCCAGGTAATGACTCTAGCAAACAGCTGCTTTGGAAACCAGCTCTTTCAGAGGCTAGACAAGTGGACATAAGCAAAAGTGCTTGCCATGAAGTGGCTCTCCGGAAACGAAGAAATGCAAGGTTATTTAGGGTTTTTCACGTAACCTTAACATCCTCTTTTAACGAAAGCATGAGCGCTTTTTCTGTCTCTGGAGCAAATAGCCTGGAGTCACCTTAGACAGCTATCCAACTAACAAAAAAACTGCAGTCAATCAACATGCGCATTTTTAGACCTTGATGACTTGAAAAGATTGGGGTGACAGAACTTGATGTAGCAGAACGTACCGTAAAGAAAGAAATTGTTTGGAAATTTGTACCTTGGAAAAGATGTGAAAAGGTAGCAGAGATCATACTAGCTGAATGAAACAGAGTAACATAAAATTATTTGTTTATTCTTGGCACTTGTTTCTTTAAAGCCACTCCTCAGTTCTCATGTTATATTTTGCACAGTGGGGCTACCTGAACCCTATTGGAGGGGTAAAGCTTGCACAAGCGAGTTCTCCAGATGTGTTGTCTGTGCCACCGGCCTATGTATCCCTTATCAGCCATGTAGCCTGCAGAGCAGTGGTGTTAAT